CCTCACTTGGAGATCTAGGACAGCAACAGTGAACCATCACAATGACAACAGATCCAATGGGTGCAATGCACCCAGACTCCCCCTAACTCTATGTTCTTCTTCCTCAAGCTCAAAACCCATGTGGGGTTATGAGAAAGAATGGAGATGAATTCCACTTGAGGTACATTCTACAAAAGAGGTGACAACTCACTCTCAAAACTGTCAAAGTCATCAACCCAGAAGGGGTTTAAGAACTTGTGATAATTGGGTATCACATAATGCTTAGAATGGGACCCAAAACCAGAATAAAGAAAAAATACTTAAAAACTAAGGAAACATTCATAAATTATGGACTTGTGAGGTCTTTTTTTGTTGTTTGTTTGTTTGGAGACAGGGTTTTTCTGTGTAGCCCTGGCTGTCCTGGAAGTCTCTTTGTAGACCCAGGCTGGCCTCAAACTCAGAGATCTGCCTGGCTCTGCCTCCTAACTACTGGGCTTAAATTCATATTGATTTATGAACTACAGCAAACAGACCATAACAACATGAGAAACTGGGTTCAGGATATGTGGGGATTCTCTGTATGCTTCTTACATTTTTCCCTTTATAAACATGCTAACTTGACTTCTAGGAGGCAGGCTTCCAGGCACGCTTGTGAGGAATTGTTAACCTTAAGGTTAGCTTCAGAGAATGCCCATGAAAAACTGTCTTGATCTCATTCATTAATGTGGGAAGACCATTTTAATTTGTGGGCGAAGCCATTCCCTAGTCAGAAGACTCTGGGCCGTATCTGAGTAGAGGGAGTAAGCAGGCACTAGCATGCATTCGTTCACTGGGAGGATAGAATGTGATGACTTCCTTCAAGCTCCTGCCACTCTACAATGATGGGCTGTAATTTGGGACTATGAGCCAAATAAACTTTTCAGTTGCTTTTGTCAAGAGTATTTTGTCACAGCAGCAATAAAATCCAAAAGTGGTCTAAAATTTAATAGCATGTGAGTCCTGAGAAATAGGTTTGAAGGCAGGGTGAGAGAGGGCTGGGTGCTCAGCTGCAATCAGGGCTCTTTGGTGGCAAGGCTTATGGCTTCTGGAATACACCCTTACACTCTGAACCTCGGCCTCAATAACTCCAAAGAAGCTCAAGGATTTATGACCTTGTTGTTTAAGCATCGGAACAAGAAGGACGGCTTGGAGAGTCCTCTAATGATTAACCCACATGTTTGCCTTGTTCAAGTTACAAAAAAGAAAAGTCCTTCATTTCCAAAGGATTCAATCAACCACTTATCAGTGAGACTTATTAAAATATTTTTTACATGACTTATGAATATGATAAGTAAGAGATCTTATTTCAATAATAGTTCCTTGTTGACTTTTGGAATCCTACAGTGACTGTGTAGTCACTCAAGAAACTCATTTTAGTAACACCTTACTTTTACATTTTCTTCTTTGCATAGTTAATATTCTAGGTCATTCTTGGGGTTGAAAACTCTCCTATTGAGCTTATATTTATGACTTAAAAGCCCTTTGTATTGCACTCATTTATCATTGCATAAGGCCCATGGCGCCTGTTAAATTATAAATTTATGTTAATCCTAAGGAAATCCTTCTTGGCTATAAATATTTTATTCTCCTATTAAATGTTAATGTTTTGTCTTATCAGACTAAGTACATGTTCTATATCACCCAACACCATCACAGATATAAGTGAGGTTTGCTTTCATTCTCCATGCCTCTTTCCTTTCCAAAACGCTCAGTGAGCATCTTCTCTGGTGAGGATTCAGGGAGACCAACATAAATGACAGACAGCAGATAGCAGCAGCTCACAGATGCAGGTGAGAGTATGGGTAATCAGTGTCAATGTGCAAGGATGAGGCTAGAGACTGTGGAGCATGCTCATGTGGAAACACTGGACCATGGCTGCTTCTGAGCATGCTCATGAGGAAACACAGGACCATGGCTGTTTCTGATGGAGAGGTGCCTCTTTGGCTTCCTTCCCATGCTCAAAACTTTATGTCATTTCCAGAAGATTCCCTCTGTGCCTTGGAATGTATCTGAAAGTTGATCCCTTTGATCAACTTTCAAAGGCATCAGATGGAATGGAATCAACCAAGCTACTTGTAAGGAACCTGCCTCTTTTTAGCGACACCTTCTACAAATACAAAATGAGGCATTCGTGATGAGTCCCTGAATGAGTTCTCTCCTGATCAAACCTATAGAACAGGAGGGATTTGTGAAAACTGACAATAATGACACACTGCTTTTTACAAAATTTAGTCAAATATTTGAGTGGGAAGCCAGATATTTTAAGGGTTAATAAAGCTACTGAGATAATTTTTAATGGTTTTAACTTTTTTTTCTTAGACAACATTTGGTCCTAGGGGACTTGATTGGGGGTATCTGGTTTTTACATCAACTCAAAGTGGCAAATAGTTAACAAGCCATAATCTGAGACTGATTAAGCTGATCTCCATGGCTGTCTTGGAAAAAGAATGCCCCCATTGTAATCTACAAGGGGTCAAAGTGGAATCCTGTCAGAGGGTCTTAGTGTCACGCTTTTGCTCCAAAATGTGCTGAGTGCCAAAAGCTTGTGTCACTTTACTGTGGGAGGCAATGCCAGTTTCAATACACAGAACTATATTATAAAGAGTAGGCAGGAACCACCAGCGAGTATCAGCAGTAACACTGGACTCAGCATTAGTCAGTTCAGCTCAGTCTACCAGCACTTAGCAGTGTGCATTCCAAAGGTTTTCTTCATTAAGGGTGAATTTCATTAAAATTATTATTTTGCACAGGAAAGAGACGCTTGGAGTCTATCAACATTGATGGGAGAAAAAGGTATTGACACACTGACTCAACATGTTCACTGCTCTTTATATTGTATTTAAGTTGTACCTCAGAAAAGAGTTCATTAATGCTGAATGTTCACCAAAAAATGCTAATGAGATCACCAGGTTGACATCTGAACTCTCCTTCATAAGAGGTAACAATGTCTGGAAGGGAAGGAAAAGTTACAAGGTGCTTAGCATATTACCTGGCTTCAATGTGCTGTGGGTGCGAGCCTGGGTATAGCTGTGGTATTTAAACAATTGTTTCATTAAATATAGAATGCCCTGATGTCTTTGTCTTTGTCTAAATGGCCTCCCTGCCAGAACAGGATGCTTGATTCCAGTCTAACTCAATGAGCTATAGCTGCACTGCCTTGGTAAGCCAATATTCCAGGCATCTGGGATGCACAGAGTGCTGCTTCAAACACAGGGCTGGGCATCATTCATCCTCCCCAACATCATCTGCACTCTGGAGTTGGCCATAGGGTGAGACAGAAATACCACCTAGAAATAGGCTATCCAGACCAGCTAGTGAGAGTTTGCCCATGACCTGTCTCCTGTTTTCTGGAACTCTTCTGGCCGCTTCCTTGCTTCTTTCTTTTACTTTCTTGGGAATAACCATTACTTACCCTTAAGTTCCTAATCATGTTGTGCCAGGAAATAGCTCTTGCAACAGGACAGCGAAGGCAGCATTTGTTCCCATCACATCTGCGACCACCCTCTAGTGGGTGAACACTCCCTGAATCCCCTTGATGGTGGCATGATCATGGCTTGGACATTTGCCCATGCACATGCTGTTAAGTAAGGAAGCATGATGGGTCAGTGTTGGGGAGGAGAGAGTAGCTTGCAAGATCGATACTTCCTACTCTGAAATCACCAGTGTGGATTTCAGCACACGGGAGAAGGCCACAATTAATGTTGTCATCTCAGATGAAAACCAAGATAACTGCATCTTGGAAGCAATGCACTAGAGTTATATCGAAATCAATCCTAACAGGGAAAAGGCTTTGCCTGAAGTGTGTGTGTGTGTGTGTGTGTGTGTGTGTGTGTGTGTGTGTACATGTGAGACACAGGCATATATAGAACATACACACTGCTTTGTAAAAGAATGTGCCAGCCATCTGGGATGTGATTTCCTCTATCCCTGAGAAGAAATTTCTTGGCTTGCCATGACTGGCACTAATTCAAATGAGATAATCCCAGCAGAATCACTCACCTTGTCATTCCAAAACCCAGATAACATTTAGTTTTAAAGTAATTATTTCTGTCCTTCTCTCAAAGGTGATTAGGGCATACTGCTAATTCCCAGAAAGAAGGTGGTTGAAGTTTGCCACTCATGATATTGACATTTCCATTAGAACCAGAAGGATCCTATTCAAGAAAGCATGGGGACTAAGATCCTTTCCAGCCTGATCACTTTGGTCATGGAGACCTAGCACAGTTGTTTGATGTCTGTAAAATTCTTGAAATGAGACACAAGGAGACCAGTCTCAAAATGATCATGGAAGAACACAGTTTGGGATTAAGACCACTACTTGGTCAGATTGCTTGGGAGAGTTTATTTTTAGAGGTCAATAAACTTTCTAGACAATGCCAGTTAGTAAATGTATTCAGCTTTGCAGTGTTTGTATAGTCTTGGTCATAGTGCTCAGCTGTGGGAAAGGCCTGGATTCCCAAGGAGGATCAAACACATTGCAAGTTCTTTGTATTTCTAACATCCGTTCTGCATATTTTTTAGGTTGTAATCACACACGATGGATAAAGGATTTGGAATTTGAATGCTTGCTCTGCCCCTATTAAACTATGTGACATTAGGCATGTCATTTGACTTTCTAAGCCTTGATTTCCATATCAATATTGCCCCTAATCATTTTGAATTGTGGTGAAGATTGAGGGAAATAATAGTTGTCAAGCATGATAACAGTTTAATGACTGTACTGTCACCCACATACACTGTCCTCAAAAGTCCGCATTCGTCAACAAGAAAGCCAAGCATTGCTTCCCCTGTCTGTAAAGCTGTATGTGTAAGCCCTAAATTCTATAAACTGGTTCCAACCATGATCAAGCTTATCTCCCTAGAAGTTCCAAATCCTGACTGGCTCTTTCCAGGTCTCACCTACTGATAATCATTAAGGATAAATATTCACTCATTGCCCTTAAGCAGGTTTGCCTAGGAAAAGGATGCGAGCTCTTTCCATGTGTTTTAAATCTGTTTAATGGCATCATTTAATTACATGTGCTCACATTTTTGTGTTCTTGTCCCTCTCTTCTAGACACAAGGCTTCTTTTGTCTTTGATTTTCCAATAATTAGCACAGTAGTGATCGCATAGCAAGCAGTCAGTAGATGTCTTTTGAAGGAATGTTGGCTACAGGATGGAATGGAGACAAGGAACTAATATAAGATCAAAGTAGCAGGCTGTGACTAGAAGGTTGTTTTCTTGGGACTCTGATTTCCTACCTGGTATTGAACCTCTTCCAGGGACAGGGTCGTTCTCAAAGGGAAGACTCATTTTGGTAGCTTCATTCCAGGGAGGAGCAAGCTGATAATGGCATCCATTCTGTACATCCAGTTGAACAAGAGCTATTAGTAGATTTTTCTGTAAACTAAACTAAAATTGTGTTTCATGCTCCTCTGTTCTCTCTGTAGAAGAGGCTTAGTCTGGTTCACTGCAGCTCCTTGAACCATTGTGGGATCCAGGCTCCATCTAGTCCTAGGATGATCCCTGCCCAGCTGCATCCCTAGGGACCACCACACTGGCTAGCCCTGGGCATCAGGCACACAGGAGCCAGTGTGTTGTTGCTATTTGCCATCCTGGCAGTTCCTGCCAATGTAGTGCTTTTTCTTCTCTGTCCCTGATCCATCAGGCACACACACAGTTGACTCTGACCTTTACATCCTGATTTTTTCATGGCCCTGGGGCAAGAGGCATTAATGTCCTAGGTGATTTATGGAAGAAGGGTAAAGGGTACAAGGAAATGAAATGGACACAAGCATACCCATACAAAGGAGGGAAAAAAAAAAACTGGTTAATGGTTCCGAATCCCTCTGCCACATAGATCATTCAAATTAAGATGAATAGAGTGAGGGGAATGTGCACCTGTGTACAAATAGCCTGTGAAGTTCTCAGGAATGAAGCTGCTCTAAAGCACCCAAGACACTGGGAAGTAGAGCAAACTTGTTATTAGAAGTGAACAAACAAGGGCAACAAAATTGAGATGATTAGGGCTGTACCAAATTGATAGTAGGTGATTCAGGGCCAGCATGTTCCTGAACAGAAAATGCTCAGCTGAGGTTCTGATGCTTGCTTAGATACTATGGAAGAGATGGATGATGAAGGGATGGATAGATCGTCTTTAATATCATCTGGAATGTGATTCTTCAGGAAGGAGTGTGTGTCTGTGTGTCTGTGAGTGTATATTCACAGAGAACACAGGGAAGGGGGAGGAGATGTAGAGACAGAAGTGTGTTGTATTTTTTACATTTTTGCTCTATGGCTCTTTGCTCTTCTGGGATCCTGCCAACCAGCTCCCAAATAAATACACACAGAGACTTATTATTACTTATATATGACTTGTTTCTTGCCAGCTTTTCTTGACTTAAATTATCCCGTCTACCTTTTGCCTCTGGGCTTTTATCTTACTCTCTTTCTTTCTTTCTTTCTTTCTTTCTTTCTTTCTTTCTTTCTTTCTTTCTTTCTTTCTTATTATGTGTCTGGCTGTGTGACTCGCCCCTTCTTTTCTTGATCCTTGATTTATTCCTCCCAGATTTCTCCTCCTATTTATTCTCTCTGCCTGCCAGCCCCACCTCTCCTTTCTCTGCCTAGCTATTGGCCATTCAGCTCTTTATCAGACCAATCAGGTGTTTTAGACAGGCAAAGTAACACAGCTTCACAGAGTTAAACAAATGCAACATAATAGAATGCAACACATCTTTGCATCACTAAACAAATGGTCCATAGCATAAACAAATGTGACACATCTTAAAATATTCTTTAATAGAACTGGGGAGGGAGAGAGAAAGGAGGAGGAGAGGGAGAGAAGAAAGGATAAAGAGGGAAGGAAAGGAAAGGAAGGCAAAGGAAGTAAAAGCAAAGGAACAGAAAGGAGGGGGAGGAGAGAGGAGGGGAGGGAAGGGAAGGGAAGGGAAGGGAAGGGAAGGGAAGGGAAGCTCATTAGAAAACTAGCATATGGAGTTTTGGAGACTTGGCTTGGTAAATCCAAGACTTTCAAGGTAGACCAGCAGGCTGAAAACCCAGGGAACTGCAGCTCAGGTCCAAAGGTCATCTTTGGCTTTGTCCCCTCTTGCTCACAAAAGCTGACTCTTTGATCTAGTAAGGCCTCAAATGCCTGGCAAAAATTCACCCACATTAGAAGGTTAATCTTTACCCCATCTTATCCAAGAAACACTTTTAAGGAAACCCTCAAAACAATGACTGTCCACATACCTAGGCACCCCAGAACTCAACCAAGTTGGTACATAAGATTAACCACCACGCTGTGGTTCATAACTCATTCCAGTTTCTACTGAGTTTCCCATGTCCCAACAATCATGTAATTTCAAATGGGTCTGATTTTGAACATACCTTTTGAGATTCCGTCCTGTAGAACTGCCCATGTTTTCCACTTCCTTCTTCTCCATCCCCTCCTGCCTTTTCTCTTTTTCTTACTTCCTCCGGCTCCCTGGGGCTCTCTCCCCCAAGTTTTACTCAGAGGAGAAAGATGCTCGAGAGAAAAATAAAAAGATAGTTTTACTGCAATACTTTCACAGGGTGATACCATGGCATGTTGCAACACTCTTATGCCTGAGGCAAATGTGTGTGAGATAAATTCCTCTTTTACGTGCACACCATACCGTAACCCAGCACCTACTGAGTTTAGCCCTTTGATGTCTCTATATGTATTTTTCTTCTTACTCTGATAGGTAATTTTCAAAATGAAACAAGAGTTTAAAGTACTGGCTTATGCCTCCCAGTGTCCTATGGGAAAAGTTTTAAAACCTTTTGCATACAATTATTTACATAAGCTCTATTGCGAAAGGCACAATGGGGACAGATGCATGTGGCTGCTCCAGTCTTTTTACCCTGACTGGTATAGATGTGGACAGGAAGTGGTGTGCTCTTCTCCATGTGGAGAGATTCAGACCCAGAAGGACAAGGGCAGTGACAATGATGCCTGTTGGAATGTCTGTGACAAATTACCATGATCAGCCTGCACTGGTTAGAATTGTATTTCAAAATACATGCTTCAAGCAAAAAGCAAAGGAGAGTTCTTTTATTTCACACCAAACTAAAAGTGCAATTGTTGTATGAACAAGTTACAAGTTGCTCTGTATGGGTTGAGTTAAGTCAAGTTTAAAAAAAGAAAGAAAGGGATTTTTTTAATGGGCTTTATATAAAACTACCAAACCTGAGAAATAGCCTGAATAGCCATCAATTTATAAATGGATAAATGAACTTTAGTAGGTTCCTATGTAGAATACTACTTGGCCAGAAAAAAGAGCAAGAACTGCTAGGTAGAACAATGTGCCTAAGCTCAATGTATGAAGCCTAGCTTGAAATGCTATGTCCGGTATGATCCTGTTTGTATGACATCATGGGAAAGGAAAAACTATCAAGACAGAAACAGAAGAGCGATGTTCACAGGCCAGGGATGACAGGAAGGGGATGACAACAAAGGAGGAAAATTTGGGGGTATGTTGACTGTAGTGAGCCCATGACTGTTTTATTTTGTGTAAATTCTCATAAAATAATAGCTTTAAAAAAAGGATGATTCCACTTAAAGTAAATTATAAGACCATCACACCTAAAGATGGCTAATTTGGTGTCCATAAAATATCTCAGTACATATGACCATGAAATGGGGTGCGCAGCAGCTCCAGAATCTCAAGAGATGGTGATTTCTAGAAACCAGTTGCTTAGGAAAAAGTGACTGGGAGAATTCTGCTGACCTTTCTTCTCTTCTTATTCTCCCAAGCTCCAGACATCCCAAGCCACTGCCTTTAGTGGAGAAAGGAAGGGGCATAAACCCCATTTCCTAAGTAATTCTTCCGGGTGAGCATTGCCAGCACCTGGGTTGTTTCTCCAACGCTTACCCTATGTCTTGGAAGACTGGACACATACAAGTCAACTGAAACCTTCCAGGTACTTGCCTGTGAGTAGGGATGGTTCCCCAGAGGAGCCTGATGTGGTCCCAGCTGCTTTACTATCTGCATGGAGGCTTTAAGTGGGCTCATACCAAGTAAGCTGTTCCTGTACATACTACGATTTAAGTGTGGCTTGTGGCTTCCAGACTCTGGTTGGAATTTAACCCCCATTGTGAGACAGTCAGGGAATGGGCATTTATCCTAACACTGATGTTTAGAGATAGGGCCTCTGGGGGGGGGGGGGGGTTAGGGTTAGATATGGTCCTGGGGTGAGGGGGGAAGCCTTGTTGTTGACTCCTTCTTTTTGTTTAAAAAGACACACACACAAACACACACTCACAGGCCCGTGCCTCTTGCTTTACCACTTCACTTCCGGGAATTGCCTGCAAGCAAGTCATCGGCCGACCTGTGCCCGAGTCTTGAACCAGTACTGTGAGACAAACCAGATTTATAATTTACGCAGTCTTTGGTATTATGTTATAGCACAGAAAACAGACTACTATACTACCTTTGGATGTTGTGCCAAGACAAATAAATAGACAGGACTTTTATTTGCTTTGAAGGATTGAAACAAAGTATATGGGTGAGAGTTGCTGAGGTAAAGCTACCAAATTTCAGGACAGTGACTCGCCACTTACAGTGCCAGCTAACATTTCATTTGAACTCAAAGCCATGGGCTGTTAGCCCAAAGCAGTATAATTGAATCTTAATTGACTGAAGAGGAGGGCATAGAGAAACAGGAGGCTTCACAAAGATGGGAAGATAAGCCAAATCAGATCTCAAATGGCACCCAATAGTGACTTGAACTGTGAGCCATGTCCAGTGTAATTTGCACATCTTCTCTTCTCCCTCAGATTCACCTGGGTCTAAACCTGTTTACTTCTTGGGTCATTACATTGGGTCATTAATGCATGCACTGCTGCCTGGTGTACTGCTGCCTTGCATGGGCAATGTGGTCGCTCCCTTCCTGTGAGAGATGCAGAAAAATTCATCAGTAGCACCATGCTAACTAATCCACCTAGCCAAGCTTTTGGATATGCACTGAGGCGCCCTGCCTCCTCTGGGTGATGTGCATTCCTCCACACCTGAGACCACTCATGTGCTGTCCCCTGCCTGCACTAAGTCCTCTTCTCTGGGTGATAGAGCGTCTCATATTTTACTGTTTCTCAACAACAACATGGAGACTCTGGGTTGAGTTGGACTTTCAGCTTTGCTTGTTAGAACACTGGCCTGGTTTTTTTGTTTTTTGTTTTTTGTTTTTTTTTTTTTTTTTTTTTTTTTGGTAACTTTTCAGCTTGGGGTGGCTTTAACACTAACCCATGATAATAAGGATTGCATAGGAAGAGATGAGACCCCTCAGTCAGAATAGGGGCCATAAGGTCCTGGCAGGCAAGCACACACATGTGCATTTGCGCCCA